ACGGAGGTTACGTCAAAATCTTCAAATCTTACGTTCTTGCAGCCTGATTGCTCCTATCATCTCTTTCCAAAACGCATCGAACTCTGGACAGGGTAGCACAGCTACTTAGGAGCTGCTCTGTAAAGAAGTATTTCTAGGAAAATAAACAAAAATGCACTCTTCAAACCATGCTTCAGCAACACCTTCCCTTGGCACATCTGGCCGCTTTACAAATGCAAGGCTTTTGCCTTCTGCCTCCGTTACATCTTGGTGCATAAACTGAGCTCTAAACCAACCATCTGAAAAAAAAAAGAAGAAAAAAAAAAATCCCTTCCAGGTTTATTTATACTGCTAACAGGAGAGCCGGGCCAGGCATCAGTCATGTTTCTATACGTACTGTCTTTGGAATCTTATTTCAGCGCCTGGCTGTGCAGTGGGTGGCAGCTTCTCGAAGGATTGATGGGGATTTGCCTACTCCTTTGTAGGAATGGGATCTTTAGCCGAGTCAGCAGATTTACCTGGCCATAGCACAGGGACTAATGAGTACAAAAAGGCAAGTTCTGCAACCTGTGCATTTACTTAAAAGCAGATCTTCACTTGAACTTGAAACGTACCTCTTTTACCTCACTTATCTCCCCTCCGTGACAAATGGGATGTTTGTGAGATGTTATGAAACGCTAGCAATCACAGATCCCTTAATCTTGCATTAATTTATCTTATTTTCCATCGACATGACAAATTGTTTAAAAAGGAGCATGCAGCTCTGAACAAGAACCAAAAGTTAACTCCTAAGCAGCAGGAAAGAAAGGTAACACTTGTATCCCAAGCATTTCCAGCCTCTGCTAGACAGACTTTTTTACAACAGCAGAACGCTAGGAAGTTTGGGTTTGTTTTTCAGGCATGGGGTTCTCCCCCCCTCCCTTTTTTGTTTTATTTTTAACTATCACTTCAGCCCCAGTAGAAAGATTTCACTGGAGTAAGCCCCCTGAAAAGCTCATCACTACTTCCCAGGGAACTGTGATGTACATTTTACTAGGAAGTGAACGTAAACATTATCTGGCAAATTTAATTTACTTGATACCATTTGTATGACACATCCATAGCTTTCCAAAGCAGAAAAGTATTTTTTTCCAGCAAGCATCACGTGAAGGAAAACATTAAACACTGAACTAGTCTCATGTTATAGTCGGTAAAAGGACATCTATCATACACACAGACGACAGGAAGAAACACACTTACAGGTAATTATCCTGTGGAATAAAGGTTAACACGTACATTTAATTAGCAACAGCTGTATTTGCTATTATGATGAGTTTCCTATTACAGCTGAAGCCAAAATATTATTCTCAATGCTAGTGAAATGAACGCTTTGAACACCAGCTCTTAAAAATCTTCATTCATTAAGCACTGAAACAGAGCACAGGAGACAAGAGGGGAGCTGCAGTTCAGAATGCATTAAACAAGCTCCTGCCATGTTTGGTTTAGGCAATTCCGTGAAGTACAGAAACGGATTAAATAACCTCCTGATATCTGCTGTCTAGAGGTCTAACAGCAGGTAAGTGAATTCACTCTTTAACCATCCCGATATATTAAATTGGGATCAGTGCTGTGTGTGCTAATTCCAAAATAGATCTTGCACAACTCCATTACATAAAGGCTTGGAAATCATCAGCTGGGCAGGTTTCTTTCAAAAAGATTATATTCTGAGGAGTTCATCTAAAACTATGCACTTGCACCATATCATTAAGTGCTTTTTCTAGCGTTCTAGTGACTTAACCTTCAATTATGGAAATAATTACTTATCTACAAAGTATTCTAATCACAACATGATGCAAAGCCATGTTAAGAAGGCTAAAAAGTCTTTACTGAACTTATTGATACAGAAACACTTATTAATAAAGTTTAAATTGCGTAACACTTTTGCATGCCTCAGGCCAATTTCACTCCTTTCTACACATAGATTTTTCAACTTACTCATGATTACAGCAGCATGAAGTTCATTTCTTTTTGCAAATTTACTGCAGTATCAAAACCTAAAAGGAGTCACATACAATTAAAGTAAAGACTACTTAGAACACAAAAGGAAACAGAGCAGGTAAAATCCCCAGACAGCTTACAGACTATACAGTAACAGTTATACTACAATTACTCTCTTAGAAATGCATACAAAACTACAGTGCAAGTGCTTGTGCACAGGGAAAATGTATTTACAGTTCCCCTTCATTTACAGGCTATAAGCAATACTATTTCACAATTATATTACACATAAAATTTCTACTATGGGTTTGTTTGGCTCTGTGGGTTTTTTTGGACAAGGGGACAATCTGACAACCTAGAACATAAATTTCCTGTATATATATTTATTTATTCAACCTTATCCAGGAAAAATAGCAGTATTTTATGCATCTTATAGAAAGCTACAAAAATCTAGCAAATGTAATAAAAAAGGCAAATCTGGTGAAAAATCTGACAAAATATCTTTTACACCTGGGGGTGGGATGGGGGTAAAAATCAAACAGGGGTAAATGAAAGAGAATTCTTCCTCAAGTGGTCAGCTTTAACAGAATCTCAGCAAGGTTTACTAACACGAACCTGAAGTTTAATGTCATTTTTAAACCAACTTCTTTAAAAGAAGTTTTGTAATTAACAAACCGAAGGATGACCCGGTAGCCAAAGTAAGAGGCACCCTGTACTATGTAGGGGTACGGAAATTGTGCCACAGTACAGACAGGCACATACCTGGTATGACAGCTATTAAGCAGAAATGCCTAACAAATACAGAGGTGACAGCCTTTGGGGACGCACAGAGAAGTATCACAGAGATTCTATTAAGCCTCCCTTTACCACCATATTCAGGATTTTCATTTGCAGAAAAAAATTCTTTGCAGTTGCCAGAATTACAAGATGGGTACTTGTACGTTTACAGGAAACCATCAGCTCGGTGGCCACAGAACTGCCCCATTTCAAATAAAGAAATAAAAATCTGAGGGAGCAAGATAGCTTGGGGTACCGTTTAGACCAGAAGTGGAGACCTAGGAAACCAGAGGCAAAACACAGCCTACGACTGTGTTATGCGCCAGCGGCCACATGACACCATATTATCAGATAACATTCTCAAAGACATACAAAAAGCCTACCAAGCAAGGAATAATTCTCCACCTCGGGCTTAGACATACAAGAGTTATCCATTTGATTTTCAAAGCCGCACAGAACTTTAAAACACTGTTTATCTTTATGCAAGTTGTGCAACTCGGTACCGTTAATCATAGAATCACAGAATGGTTTGGGCTGGAACGGACCTCAGAGATCATCTAGGTCCAAGCCCCCTGCCATGGGCAGGGGCACCTTCCACTAGACCAGGTTGCTCAAAGCCCCATCCAAGCTGGCCTTGGACACTTCCAGGGGTGGGGTCTCCACAGCTGCTCTGGGCAATGTGTTCTAGTGCCTCACCACCCTCAGAGGAAAGAATTTCTTCCTTATATCTAATCTAAATCTACCCTCTTTCACTTTAAAGCCATTACCCCTTGTCTTATCACTACATGCCCTTGTAAAAAATCCCTCTTCAGCTTTCTTCTAGGTGCCCTTCAGGTACTAGAAGGCTGCTAAAGGTCTCCCCGGAGCCTTCTCTTCTCCAAAAACCCAGCATATTTTTGGCAAGACAGTCTTCATTCATTCCTCCTCAGAAAATGAAGAGACAGCATTAAAAAAAAAAAAAAAAAGATATCAAAGTGATACCAACTTAAGTGCTTCTGATGGGGCAATGCCTTAACATAGCTTCATTACCTACTGAGAGAGGGTTTTTCACTGCCACCAGCTTTAGAGGTATTTCACATCAACACAAGCCCGAGGGTTTCTTTCCAGCCGTTACCAGTTTAGGAAGATTTTTCAAACAGGCTGAACCAAGTAAACTTCCCCTTCTAAACACTGTATCTCCTTCCACCCCCATTACAGGAAGACATGGGAATAAAAATTAGGGTTCACATCCACGCAACTGCAGAGCGTAAAGTCTTTCTATGTGAACCTGTTAAAACATCTACTTAATTGTTGCAGGAACAAAATAACCTACCAAGTCGATCAACTTCATTCCACCTACCAGATGTGGACTGCGTGTAGACAAGTTGTAGTCTAGCCACCTTGCTACAGCAGGGGCACACACACAGGAACACCTAAGAACTGCATCAATTTGGCTCTCTAGACTGTTTTCAGGTTCTACATACCCTCCGCAAAACTACATTTGGCTGAATTACCGGGACACAAGCCACTCCGCTCAGGCTCACGCTCCGCACTTCACTCTGTTCAGCCCAGCAGACGTTAAGTGATCTCACACAACAGCAAAATCCACAGATTCTGCTTTCACAGTCAGTTTTTACCAACTCACTGCTCTGCATCTCCTCTCTACCCTCCTCCCCACTCAGAATTACTCTGTGAACATTTCCAGAGACAACCCTGACTACCCTAGCATCCTGTCAAAGCTAATCAGCTTTGCAACTCTTCACTTGCTTCCATCGCTTTAAAAAAAAAAAAAACAAACCCAAACAACTTTGCATCTCTATTGGACTAATTCACTACAACAGCTGTTTCCCATTATGAAAACCAATATTCTGTAAAACATTTTTACCTTTTACTGGAAAATTATATATAGTTTATAAGCAAAACTGAGACCATCCAAAGGGGAGCTGATGCTTTCCTTCTCATTCAAAACCTGGATGCCACAAGGCCAGATGCCAAAAATTCTTTCCTTTCATGTCTGTAAAGAGTTGTGCTTTTTCAGATTACTGAAAGAAATAAGATTTGCCAGGTCAGTTTTTACTGATAATCTTCATCCTCCATTAAACGCACACCACAGTAAACACATGGCAGGTTTAGGGGGAGGGAGCACAGACAGCAAAGGTCTTTGGGGAGCCGCTTAAGAATATTTAAAAACTGCAATTCGGCAGAGCAACCATGAGATTTTTAGAATCTCTCTGTGCAGTTAGTTTCAGGGAATTAAATCCTCCTTTCCATGAGCAGCTGAGCATTTCACCAACTTGCTTCCTAAGGAATCCCTGCTGTAGGATAAAACTATAGCACACAACTGAGAAGAAAAAACTTAAAAAAGCTATCATGTTTAAGTATACAGCAGCCACATTCCCCAGCTAGCCTACTGCCTTGGGTGGTCATATTAGCAGGCAAGCAAGTGGTATACATTTGTCAAGCCCTAAGTAGTACTTTATTTTCTGCCTACTTCCCACTTTCTAGAAGATGGAAATTACTTTTCCCTGTAATAAAGCAGGTAATATTTCAAGGGATCAGGCAAAGGCAGACTCAAGACCTTTTCTCTCAAAAAGTTTACTGGAGGATCTGGCTTTAGTTCAGAGGGTTTAGTTTCTTCCTCTTCTCGTCTCTCATCCTCGATATCCTCGCTGTTGTTGTTATCATCTGACGGGTTGGAGATACGACTAGCGAAGACCTCTTTGTCCAAGAAAACAATAGTTTCCATGCGACGGCGACGCACTCGTCTTCGTTTAAATCTTGGGGGGTTCTTCAGCCCATTTCCATTTTTGCTCATTGTTTCTTGATGTATAATTTTTTTAATGGTTCCTCGGATGGCTATGCGAGCCAGATCCTGGAGGCTGCGAACAGCCACTGGGGCTAAAACAAAACGAAAACCATGAATAGATATGGAGAAACTCCCCTCAAGAGTATTCATAGGAAAAGTTATTTGCTCAAATCAAATCAGGCCACTTGAATTCCCTGCTGTGATTACAAAAACAGCTCTATTCAACTCCTGTCAACTCAGATAAACTGTACTGTAACTTTCCAAAGAAAATTTAATTATGCATTTCTCTCATTAACTGAAGAAAAAGAATGGGATGAAAGAAGAGTTTCATATTTTGATGTCAAGTCCCCACAATTATTTTAAGATACACATGTCTTAAAGATTATAAGAATGCAGACTTAGTGACTGAAACTGTGACTGTTTAATAACTTAGAAAAAGATATTTTCCTACCACAGATAACTAGACCTGAAGTCTACTTAACTCTTTCATAAAGTGTTTTTTCTATTGTGAAATTACTTCAGCTTTGCCAAGTTCGTCACTTACAAAACATGAGTACAACTTAGGCTCTCCAAAAACTGCTTCAGACTTAGTGGGTAAGGACTGGCTGGAAACCATTTGGTAAAAGTAATTATAGAAGCACACAATAAGTTATTGTATTAAAATACCTCCCACATTAATGGTTTGGAAGACTGTTCTGTCTTCCGCACTTATTTGCTGCCAGCCCATAAGTGCACAGCGTAACTCATGCAACGTAAACAAAATATATCTATGCACACACATCCATGTACTAATATGAATTAAAACTGAAACAAACAAAAAAACCCTGGCTTCTACTAACAAGTAAGCATTCCTGTGACCTGAATGAAGGAACCGGGGGGGAAAAAAAAGAAAAAAAATCACATGGAATATATATGCAGGTCTCACTACAAAGCCACCATACAAAGTATGCTGAAATATGCACTTAGTGGACTTTATAGCACTGTATGGACTGCTGACTGAGCTGCTTTTTGTCATGCAAAGACACCTTTCCAGAATAAGAACAAAGCCTGACTAATCTCTTTATGGAAGTATCTCTGTCTTCATGTGCTCTTAAGAGGCCTCTCTGCACTCAAGTCTTAATCTAAAGATTGAGGCCACTGCATAGCATTTCAAACAGCTAACCACAAATTACACAACTTCTATCCCTCAAGCATTCCAGGTTCAGGATAATTCTGAATTGCCGGGAGGTGAAAGCCTTTGCGCAGACATAGTGTTTGTTCACAGGTATTGCTTGTGTATTTTCCATCATGACAGCACAGTGCCCGAGAACCATGACAGCACACAATTCAGGATTGAAACAGGTGACTGCACGTGCAAAAACAACGGCCAAACATCCCACAAAGCTTAGGTACAATTTCACAAGAAATCATTTGTACCTAGAATCTATTTTACGCAATTCTGATTCTTGCACCAGGCCTCCACAGACATCCTCAAAGTTACGACTGGCATCCAACACAAGACTTAGACAACTGTTCAAATAAGGAAGCAGCTGGAGTAATCTTCCTTGAAAGGATTCATAGGGACATTACATCCAAGGAAGCAAGGTGCAGCTTGTAACCAAACAGCAGAAGAAACCTCCCCCATATTCAAGAATGTCTGTACTCACGCAAGTGAACAAGCCTTGATTTTCCTGAATCTGCGTGGTTAGGCTGAATCAAAGGAGCAAAAGAAACAGCAAGAATCTTCTTGGTCTCCCAGGCAGAAGGACCAGTACGAGTTATCTTAGTCAACTAAACCAAAACAAGGAGATTATTGTCCATTGTGTGAACTACAATAAGATTTTTTTGAACAAAAAATGAACAAACAACGTTCCTGCCTAGACAAGTGGTTAAAGTACTAGAAGCTACAACAGTAGAAGTTAGGCAATAAGTAGAAACACGGGGGTTCTGAGAAAATTCAGAACTCCTTACAGGATTAGCCCCAACTAACTTCATCTGTTGCAACAGAATATGGGCACTGCCAGTTCGGGTCACCCTGCTTTCCCAGTTCTTCCTCAATTCTGAACCAGAACAGCTATGTCTGACCGCTGAGAAGACACATCAGTCACGGAAGAACATTCACTCTTGAAGGAAGTCTGCAGATGGCTGGATTTCTGTTACAGCTCCCATCTCTTGCACTAACTCATTGCACAGCATCTCGCCGGGAAGAAACTCTGCACTCTGCTCATCTCAACCACCCCGAGAGAGGTCAAAGGTCAGATACCTACACCTCAGCCGTATAAGTCCATTAAAACAATACACCTTTACACCAAAAAGATAATCTGAATTACAATCTTGAGTTCACAACACAGGGCAGTTATCCACTTCTTACTAAAAAGAATCCATGGACACTTGTAAATAGAATCATAGAATTGTTTAGGTTGGAAAAGACCTTTAAGATCATCCAGTCAACTTGCACGCTCTTTCATAAGCCAATTATGGTAAAATACAAAATTTTATAACCTAAGTACAACACCAGATTATATAACTTCAACAAAGCCTTTCTGACATTTTTCTGCAGCGTGAAAGTAGATTTGTAATTAGCAACAAAAGATCAGAACATGTGAAAGACTGGTAGAACCATAAACTTTTTAAATATTATGAAGAGTGCAGAGTCCGGTTTCGGCTCATAGGGAAAACTGGTGCACTTAATGCTTTCTCCAATCTGCTACAAGAAAGGCAAACTAAAGGAAGAGCTACTGACTAAACCAAGATCAGAATTAAGAATAACTGAAAGAGAAACATGAGTAGAAAGGCACTCAACCTTCTCTTCTAGAGGCATGACAAGAATTCCTCCAACTTTCAACAGGTTTTTCATGTAGTCTTCATGTTCCTTCTGCACTCCGGCACCACAGTAAACACGGTCATACTGAGTACAGTCCGGAGAAATCTCTAAACAATTGCCGGTAACAAAAGATGGCTCACAAAATTCAAATCTGAAAATGAAGAAGATATGTATCATACAAGAATATTACAATTTATCAAATGAATTATTTTCATGATTCTGAAAACATGAAACAATGAAAAATACTTGGGGGGAAAGGGGGGGGGGTGGGAACCAACCCAGTTTCACAGAATTTCTCCTCTGAAGGCCGTATATTCTAGACATTATTGGAACAGACCACAGCTGGAAGTCTCAAAACCACAGAACAATGAGGTGAGAGAGAATTCATAGCTGAAAATCTCTAAAGCATAAGGATGCATAATTTCATACGTGAGTTGCATATAACTCTTCAGAACAAGCTATTTTTAGTCACCTGATGCTGACTCAGTTATAATACACAAATATAAATACTAAACCTGCAATTCCACATGTTAAAGTCTTTTAAGGATTGCACCAGGGGTTTTTTTTTTTGGCATTTTCAAAAGCTTTCAAATGGTTTTCAGATGTTGTGGGGAACTATAACCTGATGCTTCAGAAATATGCTTTGCTGAAGCCAATGGGAGTTTTACCACTAGCTTCAAAAGAACTGTGATTTCACCCTTTATAAAAAGAGTTTTTGCCTATAGCACTTCTGATTCACTTTAGAAGAAAAATGAATGATTCTATGATGCTTCTGGTTTTCTTACATGCTCCAAATCTACATAAGCTTCAAGCCCGAATTTAAGGGCTGATTTTGATAGAAGTTGTACAGCGTATCCATTCTTCTACTGGCATCTTAACAGGCAGCTCAATATAGCACCTATTTATTCCTAAACACTTCCTGAAGCTTTCTGCTTTTGCAAAGCGTGCTAGACATGCAGAGCAGCCAGCTAACAGTTCCTGCACACGGTGTTCTAACAGCATAACCCAGCGGCCATTTCTCTCAGCAATGCCAATTTTCCAGTCATGTTGATTTCTGAATTCGGCTCACGCTTGCTCCGTAGCTATATTTGACTGGAGAGAGGAAAAAAGTCTTCCTTAAAGCACTTATTCAAACAATAGCAATGTGATTCTGAAAAAAACCTAGTCATCTATGTACAAGCACCTTCCATGCTGAAAACTTTCAGTCTGTTGCCAACATTAAGAAAATACAGCCCTCTCAGCAGCAGCTTTCCAGCACAGCAGCAACAGCACAAGGCTGAGTAGTTTAAATTCTAGCATGTAATGACTTGAATTTTCTTCCTCCCAAAAGAGGAGAACTATCAAGTATCCAGAGATGCTTTTCCTCCTTGTTTGAACTGTGAGATGGATCCAAAAATGTGACAGCTACAACTGTTATTGCTGAGGTTACTATTGGCAATGGTTATCTTGCTGAGAAGTTATTACTTGTGACAGTAGCAGAATGGAGGTTCTAAGGAAGAACATAAATCAAATCCCAAGCAGTTTTAGTACCAACTTAATCATCATAAAACTACCTTCATACTTTAAAACACCATTTTTCTTTTTCTCAGATAAAACATATCAGGCCACCACGGAAATCGGTTTGTATTCTTCTGGTAGCCACGCATGCTCTCGGATCACAAACGTAACTATTACTGTTATTTGCAAGTTTCAAGTTGTTACCTGGAAGTGCATTTTAAAATAAGTAACCTTCTTCAGCTTCCTCTAAGCTCTGCAACAGCAGCACTGCTATTAAAAATACTGCAAAAACTTCTGAAACTCCCCCATAATACACGTCAGCTTAGAAGGTCACACACTGCAGCTCAGCAAGCCTAAGAGGCCAGAATCCTCAGATTATCCTCAATCCAGAGCTGCCACACAGGAGCAAGAACTGCCATGACTAAAGCCAAATGCACAAAATGAATCCAAATGGGCATTCTGCATTCTTACTTGTCAAAGCTGTCACTTGTTTTAATGAAGAAGTCCAATTTCTGCTTCGCATATTCGATCACATCGGAATGAAGCTCCACACCATGGTTAACGCCAAAAGGACCTGCAAATTTAGAACAGTTTAACAGTAACAGGCAACACCACAAAATCCAGCAGGACTGAATACAGTTTTGGTTACTTCCCATAGCAGATGGCTCCTTGAGTGTCAGACAGTCAGTGCTTGTGTAGGGTCAGCTATCAGAGGGCTACGATGGGAAATGCAACCCTATACCTGCAATTTCTGGCAGCAAATGAAGCTGGTTTGCACAATTGATTTTGAATCATTTGCTCTTAACTATGCAGGAAATGCCTCTGTAGGAGGGAAACACTGATACTGAATAAATACTATTGCTGTAAGACTGACCAGCTCGAAAAAATTCCAATGCAGAACAATAGCCTGCATGTTTTAATAAATGCCTCAAAAAAAAAAAAAACAAAAACACTTTGTTGTTTTTATACCCCCTTGCTGATATGCTAAAAATCTCCTCAAAAGAATCAGGAACAGTCACCACACATTGTACCTCAATTAACAGCAAAAATAAATTGGAAAAAAGAGAAGTTGTTCAGCACTCGTGCTTCTTATTCAGAACTGACTTGGTAACTTTTCCAAAAATTCAAAAGAATTCAAAAGCCCTGGAGTTACATATTGGCATCCTACGTCATCTCAACAAACCCAGCAGAAAACCACAAATGTGATTCCATGCAGAGCCACGGGAGATGGGAGTGAGGCTCCATCCTGAGAACAAACATTTCAGCAGTTTAAATTCTTGACGCACCCACAAAAAGAAAATACGTACCCTACAGTCATTTGCTATCTATCCTGGCAGCCGGAAGAAGCGCAACTGTTGACTGAAACACTTTAGGGTGAATTGTAATGGTATAATTGCACTTTGATGCTTTGATTTGCGCCTACTGTAGACTGTGGTCACGATGTCAGCTCTGACGCACTAACTGCTTTCCAAAGACTATTCCCACCTGTATGTTGGTAGGAGTCAAAACTGGATCTCAAACATGTTTCAGTCTAGACAGGACAGTGTAAAACCAAACAAGGCACAGAGCAGCAACAGCCACAGGTTTCTGCAGACACGCTCAATCCTACTTTAAACATGGCACTCCTGCTCCCGAGCTGGGTTCTTGCTTAAGGGGCAACAAACCCAAGTTTGTGCCCAATCCTGCAGGAAATCACTACAGCCACCCCTGCAACTACATCGCTGCCCGTTCTGAACTGCCACAGAAACCTGGATCCCATCCAGTTCCAGAGAGAAGGCTGCAAGAGTCCTGATAAATCAGTCAGTTGGATTAATGCATTCTTTACTTTCCTAGCTACCTTTTAGTTTCATCACGTGAGGAAAGCTTCGTTCCCAATTTCAAAACCTTTTTTTTTTTTAAATCTAATGTAAACAGTTAACATGATTGAAAAGGTATTTACCCAAGATGAGTCCAACCATAGAACTCAGATAACCAGTGCCACTGCCAAGATTCAAAAACGACAGCCCTGGTTGCAGATCCAAAGCTTCCATCACCTCAGAGTAAATGCACGGTGCTGAGAGATGAATATTTCCATGCTTCCACGCCAAGTCCTTGTAGGCATTGTCTTTGAACTCTTCCAGGTAGTAATCTGCTCGATCAATGGCTCGGAACGCCTGTTCTACCAGTTCTGTCCGGATGTATTGTGCCTCCTTCAAGTTATCAATTAATTCATCGTTATCTTCTCCTGCACTCACTGCACCTCCCATCTTCAGTAGTTTTCTATAAGCACTAAAACTAAAAGAATAGTAAAGGAAGATGAGGGATAGAGCATGCATTTGAACACTAAATTACGCTGCTGTATATGAAGTACTTTGAGAGAGATCTTTAGGTACTTTAAGGAAAACAAGCAGCAGAAAAACATTACCACCATCACCACCCCCCAATCAAACAGTGAAAACCAAAATGCAGCAGATCTGGCACGTAGTACCTGACACCAGCGGGGAAAAATCACAATAGACAATTTAAATGTGCAATGCCTGTCTTCAAACACTACCAACATTTTACTAGCATGTCAGCTTTTTCACTGAATCCTTTTATATAAAGGATTGTTCTAGCTCCTATGCTTATAGGTCTTCTTTCTTTGCAAATCCAACCAACGGTGCAAGTCTGAACTGCCCGTCAGAATTCTTGCCACACGCAGACTTTCTATCTCCAATAGTATCAAGGGGAAATTAAAGAGACTAAGACACAGGCAGCAAGAACCAGAAAAATCCACAGAGGTTAAAAAACCCTCTGACCTAGAGTAGAAGCTTGCTTACTTTAGCAAATGCACTTTCACACAGCTCGTCTCTAGAGCTTGAGCCACCATCATCAGTAAAGCACTTAACAATACAGACAGCAACTGCAAAGAGAATTTCCACTGACGTCTGTGGAATTTTTTAGGTCTTCTTAAGTCCTAGATGAGCTAACCCCCAATTTGGAAACTCTTCAGTGACACAGGTTATGAATTACAAACACTTCTTACTTCACCGACACAATCATCTCCAGCAACCTATTCAGGCTTGTTGGTGTGGGGGAAAGAAAAGCAAGCACCTTCACGACACTAAGCATGACTATATGCTTCATGCAGTAAAACATCTATAAGTTTTTTTTTTAAAAAAAAAAAAAAGGTATAGCAGGAGAAGAACATAGAAGAACTTACCACTCAAAATTAATCTAGCTTTTCTTCCCTACCCGTATCTTAAAAAAAAATCCTTTTCAGAAAATACAACATTTTTTTTTTTAATGCCTTTATTTACAATGCTTTTCTCTGCTTACAATAATAACCACAGAAGCAGCAGCTTTAGAGTTCATTCCTGGGATCAGAAGATCTGCCTACAGCTAAATTGTTGGGGTTTATTTGTTACATTCAGCAAGAGCAAATTATACACTTCCATTTTCGGAGGAAACAAAGAAAAGCTACAGGAGTCTAAGGAAATTTCACAGTTACTCAAATAACATACCATCCTGGTTACCTATAGAGACACACAAAATGGGATATACTTAGGCAAGGAACTCGAGCCAGTTTTTAATACATTCGTGTCTCAAACACATCAATCCAGTTTCAGACCATTAATAAACCTTAAAAAAACACCACCCCTCTCCTTTCTATAGTTACTCCTTCATTTTCTCTACAAAAAACGATTGTTTTATTACTTCACAGTGGAAACACATCAAGCTGAAGACTTAGGTGGGTTCATCAGCAAATTTGATTCTTTTTTTTTTTTCTCCTCCTGGTACATTTTTTCTCCTCTCACATACACATCAACTCGTTGCATCCACACATATAGGGTTGCTTATATCTTTGGTCAGTATGCTTTATATAACATTCTGCATTAAAATACTCTCTTCCCTGAGAGGGTTGATCCCCTTGACTTTCTTTTGCATATTTTGTTCTTAGGCTCGCTTCTTTCTTCCACTTAAGCTCTTTTTGCTATTAAAAATCTACATTTTTAGATTTAAAGTATGAATAAGTTGTTGTAGCTTGAACAGCGTTCCACTTTGGATCCCCAACAAATTCTTTCTGATGTATGCAAGCCCCACTGGGACAACTGGTGCAACCTGGTTTTAGCTCAGCTATATGATGAACACTGTTCTTCCATGTTCTACAACATGGAAGACATTTTTCTAATGGAGATCAAGGAATCTCCAAGTTCTGACAGGTGTCAGTTACTTCTGAAATGATTACTTTTACTGGACACTAGCTTACTTCCAATAAAATGCATGTTTTATATACAGAACATAGAACTCTGACATATGAATTCCTCTTTGGATAATTCCACATCTTTGTTTAACCTTGTTTCCTTTCTCCTACTGGAAGTGGGAACCAAGACTATGAGCAAGACTTATTCTTAACAAACTTTTTAAAACAAGATCCTCTCCCTCCACAATTAGCACAGTCGCACTTGTCACGCTTCTAGGTAAAGCGCGGATTTCCACAAATCTGAGCGGGGACAAAGTTCACGTGCAAAACTTATGATCGTTAGCAGATCACGACACAGGTATCAAACCACGCAGCCTTTTAGTATTGAAACATCCCTTCAATCTCACGCTGCCATCTTCCCCTTTAAGAAAAGCAAAACAGAAAAACAAACAAGTCTGACATGAGAAGCTGCATTCAGACGCCTGAAACAAAACACTGAAATTAAAGCAATTTCTTCCAAGGCAAACACCAGCAGATGCACAGGGGAGGACTCAAAACAATACACAAGGCACAAAAATTCGATTCTTCACCACAGCACATTTCCAGGGTAATCCCTGCTCTGACATAATACGCTCCAGAAGAAATAACAAAGATGAGGATGTTTACCGGTTAAAAAAAAAAAAGTTACAACTGGCACAGCTTTCAATGTGATCCCCTCTAACCCTCTCAAATAACAAATTAAAAAGCCCAACGCCGTACAGCTCAATCGCTACCTGCGTTATCAGCCTGCTGCCGAGGAAAGGGACGGAGACGAGACAGCGGGAGGGAGGTGCAGGAAAGCCCGATGCCGACTCCCTCCCAACGCCCCCGATCGCTTTAACCGGGCGGCCCCGGTCTCCACACGGCACCGCT